GTAAAGTAACTAAAGGGATTAAATACATGTAGTGGAGTCAAAGTACACCATGTACTTCTGAACTGTAGTGGAGTAGAAGTACAAAGTAGCAAAACATTTAAATACTCCAGTAAAGTACAAGTACTTCAACATTTTACTCAAGTACAGTACAATATAATGACATAATTATATATATTTTATTTATTTCACATGTAAATAAAGCAATGTTAATTCGGTTAACAATTTGTTTTTCCCTTTAAAAAATAACAAAAAGTAAATACAAGAATACCGTTAAAGCACCGGATCGATAAGCAGTTTCGATAAGAGTAGTACTGTAAAAAACCTTAACGATACCCATCCCTATATATTACACAAGTAAAGTGTTAAGAGAGTGAAATGTTGCTTTACGAATTTCAACACTTGATGCTGTCACCTTGATTCCAATGTCAGATACCTGTATTTGCCTAACTGAATTGGTTTAAAGAGAGAAAACATTTTGACTAAAAGTTGACTAAAACGTTTTGAATAAAAAAATCTAAAATAGCTTCCAAAATTAACACTGAGACAGACAGACAGACAGACAGACAGACAGACAGACAGACAGACAGACAGACAGACAGACAGACACACACACACACCCACACACACAGGGAGAGATTTGTTTTTCTCCCCCTCTCATCCCCCCAACCACAGACCCCTTCATAATAAAAGCCCTATAGTTTTCCTGTAGCCTTACAGGAAGCACTGGAAGAGGGATGTATTTTTTAAGTAAAAGCCCTAGAATGTCCCTGTATCCAAAGAAGACGCACAGGATAAGGTTATAATAATAAGGTTTTCTAAATAAAAGCCCCCCCACACACACACACACACCCACACACACACACACACACACACACACACACACACACACACACACACACACACACACACACACACACACACACACACACACACACACACACACACACACACACACACACACACACACACACACACACACACACACACACACACACACACACACACACACACACACACACACACACACACACTACTACTGCTACTTCAACAACTACTATGACTGTTACTGCTCCTACTACAACTACTCTACTACTACTAACACAACTACTACTACTTCTACGACTACTTCTTCTACTACTACTACTACTACTACTACTACTACTACTACTACTACTACGTACATCTGATATGTAACTCCTTCAGCCTACTTTCAGCTGCAGAAACCATTCAACTATTAAATGATTCAGCTATTTCAGGACATTGAGGCTACACATGTTGTAGTTTATACCTCTTTTAAATATGAAGCTTCATCCCCATGTTTCCTACTCTTCCAGTTTAACCTTTCACTTTCCAGTTTTCCAACAAAGTCAGTGCAGTTTGAGCTTCAACAATTTTGATTGAAATCATTTCACTTCACTGCATTTTTCTGCAAAGTAGTATTAAAGTAGTATTCAGCTTTTTGATATCTTCTACACTTCTTGAATTATCAACGTTTAAGTTTTGTTAAATCTTTAGGCCATTTTAGATGTTATAATGGGTGTCTATGGGACGGACTCTTCAGGGCTAGAGTGCGTGACATCATCACTTAGAGTGTAGAGCAGGGGTGGGGGGGTCTTACTATGGAGGAGTTGATTGAGGAGTGCCTATCTCCAGAACAAAAAGCACCTAAACGACGACATGTAGAGCTACGTGAAGAGCAGGTAGACCAACTGGAAAGGTACCACCATTCAAAAGCTTTCTGATGCGGGTCTTGAAACAAAGCAGAGAAATGATGACCGTTAGTGGCCACAGGTGCGAAAGCTCTCTCCAGAGCTACTGGAAGCCGAATCTCGGGGACCGGAGAAAGTGGAGCAATATTCTCGCCACGCCAAGCAACATCCTAGAACAACCTCAACCTATACAAGTAACCACGTAAGCCATGCTACTGATGCTGGACAGTTTTTCAGTGGGTGCACAATAAACGGCAACATACAAATTAATGTAAATAAATAGCCAAATAATGGATCAACGCTCTCTGTCTAATATGTTCGCTAGTTGTTGTTAGTGTTGTTGCATAGCAACCACCTCGCACTATGTTTTGTGCAGAAGGCAACAGAGGGACTATTTTATTTTGAACATCATTATTTACTAATAAAAACTATTTAAATTAGAGTGTGTATTTTTCTTTCATATTGCCAGCTAAGGGGGTTGTCGACCCTCCGCTTCGCGTCGGGCCGAACCGCGCCCCTTAACTGTGATATAATGGCCATATACCACGGCCTGTCGTGAGCTATTGCTTAAGTAGCCTGTAGCTTTATCAACATCTGCATGTAATCAACAACCGACTGCCAATCAAATAAAGAAAGTACAATTCAAAAACAACAATATTTATTGTCAATTAACATTGAACTATACAGATATACAGTAAATACTGTGGATATGTGTAATGTTCCTCTCGGGCTGCATTTAAAAAATAAAATAGCTTTTGAAAATGTGCATCTGTGCTTGATTTTAGATAAATAAAATAATGTGTAGCAGCAGCTTGAGTTTCCCTTTTTCTTTGTTAACCGTTTCACATCATGACTTAACAGTTTCAGACGATTATAGAACAATATCAGTCTTTACACATCATAACAATTGAACAGTTTTAAAGTTTCTCTTTCTTTCCCTCTTTTTTTTTGCAGTCCCTGTTGTGTCTCGTCAGATTTGTTAGTATTATTTCTCTGTTTAGTTAATATCGTCAAGTCCGCGTCTGCTAACCCTTTTTTGTTGTCTGTCATTTCCTGTTTTACTTTGGTAATCTCCTCTCTCATTTCAGGTAGTTCGACACCTACCCATGTGTAGTCATGTCCTGCCCCTAGTGTGTGTGTATTTATTCTGTGTTTTCTCTGTGCCAAGTGGCAGATCGTTTCGACCCTTATGATACTTGTCAGCCAGTTGTTATCTGAGCTACAGTGAATTTAAGTTATTTTTTTGTAAAGTCATTTTTTGGAGTCCTTGCTTTACTTGAGTGTTTGTATTGCCTTGCTTATCAAGTAAATTCCTTTTTTGAATCATCTTTTGTCTGGAGTCGTGCATTTGGGTCCTATCATTTTTATGTGTGCCTCAGTCGTAACAGTCCCTCACGCACTTTTTTTTGCTCAGTGCGAGAATTGAGCTCGAGCTTGTCTTGCCAGGATTTTAAATCTGGGCTGAAATGGTGTCAGGGCCATTCTCATACACACATGCAGGCGCTCATTGGTTAGCCTGGAACGATATTTAGTTTTCATAATGTTCATTGTGGAGAAAGCTGCCTCGCAGCTGTATGTGGAGCCAAACATGGTGAAGATATATAGAGCTACTTTCCTCAGACCTGGGAAAGCTGTCTCAGAGACTGTTTTGAGCCAGAAAGTGGCAGGGTCAGTTCTTCCAAATTGCTCTTTCAGGGCCACGTCTGCTTGGAGATCAACCAGTTGCATCTGGAGAGGCCCAGCATTTTCCCACTTGAAGTGCTGTGTGACTTCCTTTGAGAACTCCCTGACATCTGTGATAAGAAATGGGTTCTGAATGAACATGGTGAGCTGCCGTCCAAAGCTGAAGCTGTCAAAACGTTTGCTGAAGTTTACAATCAGCTTATCTACAAAGTCAACAAAAGAAGACACATGTCTCTGTCCCTGACCCTGTTCCTGCACTGCTGGGAAGTGTGCACAGTCTCCCTGCAGATCTTCCTTGAACACTTCAAGTTTCCTCTGAAAGGAGCGGACAGCTGTCATCAATTCACAAATTGAATTGTCCTTGCCCTGTAGCTTCAAATTCTGTTCCTTCAGATGTGAAGTGATATCAACCAAAAAGGCCACATTATCCATCTTTTTCTCATCTTCTAAAAAGAGAGAAAACTGTGTTGCCTTCTGACTTCTCATCTCTGCCAAGAAAGCTGCTACTTCCCTTCTGATGGACCAAAAGCGCTCCAACACCTTGCCTTTGCTGAGCCATCTCACATTGTTGTGCAGCAAAAGATCATCAGCGTTTGCATCAACTTCTCTGAGGAATTCCCTGAGCATGCGATGCTGATAGGAAGAGGATGCCCTGAGAAAATGTATCATTTTCATCACTGTGTTCATCACCTCAGCAAGCTCATCTGACAGGGAGGAGCACAGGACAGATTGATGGATGATGCAATGGTAAGAGATGAGCTCAGGATTATCCTCTTTCATTCTTGACACAGCTCCTTTCTCTCTCCCTATCATGGCAGGGGCTCCATCTGTGGTTCTTGAAACCACTTGTTTTGGCTCTATTCCTCACTTTGTTAACATCTCCTTAATGGCCAGGTAGATGTCCTCTCCTCTTGTACTGGTCTGAAGGGGAGTTACACCTAGCATGTCTTCACAGAACACTTTATTGTCTTTGTTGAAGAACCTTACATAAATGAACAGCTGAGCATTGTCAGAAACATCAGTGGACTCATCTACAGCTAAGCTTACACAGGGTGCCTTATGAAGGGCTTCATCCAGCTGGGCTAGCACATCCTGGGTTCATATTTCACTTCTCTTTGTGGCTGATGATGCTGACAAAGGTATTTGCTAACAGTCAGTGCAATGCATTTGAGCTTTAACAATTTTAATTCAAATAATTTCACTTTTCTGCATTTTTACGCTAAGTTCAGCAACACACTTATTAGATTTTTGTACCTAAAAGCAGCTACAGTCACTATTCAACTATTACAATATTCAGCTTTTTCTACATTTTCAGCTAAATTCAGCAACAAATGTGCGCAGCTTACAGCATTCACACGCATTTTCAGCAGGAAATGCATTTTATAGTTACCTATTTTATCCATAGGATAAATTAAATAGAGTCATAGGAAGTTTTGAAGGGTGATAACAAAATGCTCTCTAGTTTATGATTATGACTGAATCAGGGAAATATCAGAGCCCAATGCTGACTGGGTGTGGTGAAAGACCAAAGTGCATAGACCAAAGATATATTCAACGAAAAGACCTTTGAAAGTTAGGCCCAGGCCTCTGTGAAACAGTTTGCCTCACCTGATGTCCTCTAGGTCGTAGTAGACGTTGCGGCTGGTGTCTTTGATGTAGATGGCCATGTTGGAAGACTGCAGCATCTTCATGGTGAGCTGCTGAGGGAAGGCGGAGACAAAGAGAGCCCGCAGAGCGTCCTCCCCACTGAGCTCCGCCGGCAGCCTGACCTGCTGAGTCTGCTCCCCGTACTGCAGGTACATCACACCTGACAGAGCACACACACTTTAGACCAGGGGGTCAAACACACAGCCCGCTTTAGGGTCCAATCCAGCCTGCGGGATGACTTTGAAAAGTATAATAATTTCAGAGAAGACATTACCTGCAGCTTTCACATCTTTGATGTATTTTGTATGTATACATTTGATAAATTAGCAAGGCAAGGGATAAGTTAACCTTCTTCTTTAATAGTTCCCACTTTAGCTTGTATGGTGGTGTGTCAGGATTACTACACAGATGTGGAAATGAAGGTAAAAGTTTTGATCATAAAGTAAAAAACGACATTGTTCAGTTCCAGATACCGGTGACTAAATGTGTTGTGCCTTTGTGGATACACTGTGATCTGTACGTTGTAATGCACATGTCTAAATGACAAACTGACGGGCAGAAGATTGTTGAAATTACTCAAATTTCTCTTAAGAAATGTCAGGTTGTTCATAATGTTTTGTAAAAAGATAGTTCATTAAATGTAAACTTTTTCAGAATGTACTTTTTTTTGCACTAAAACAGTTATTTTTAGGTTATAATGCTGTGATTTTACTGGTCTGGCCCACTTGAGATCAAATTTGGCTGTATGTGGCCCCTGAACTAAAATGAGTTTGACACCTCTTACTTATACACAGTGTACAGTCACAAGAGTAACAGTGCAATAATACTGATATAACCACATCTTTTAGATGATTTTATATTTTTTTTAAATGTCGGCTGTGACACCTTTGGCATTTTGTCAACATCAAAGAACAAGAGAAGTTTCCTGCAAATGTTTTGGAGAGAGAGGGGAAGAGAGGGGAAGAGAAGGGAAGAGAGAGTAAGAGAGACGGCATCGGATGTGAGAGGAGGCCTCTCTGTCCAAAATAATCTCGTCTTTCTCTGTGTTAATCTACCAGTTTCTGACCATTCTCTACTGCTACAGTTTTCTAACTATTCTGTGGCTTTCGTGTTCTGATCTGGACACATTTGTCACACCCAATTGCCACTTTGACGGACGCTCTGGTTTTCTACCTGTACACCCTGCTACACCTGGCACTGTAGCCCACCTTCTCCTGGGCTAACGCTAATGTTAGTGCCCTGTAAAGGACAGCCCGCAACAACAACAACTGTCCTCTCCACCTGTCTGACGGCTACCAACAGCTAGCCTAGCTCCACTTGCATCGGCCACCGGTGCTCCACTGCGGCATCATCTTGGAGTTCCACCACTTCTCCGTCCGTCCCTGGGTCACTTCCTGGACAGCTTGCCTGCTGTCCTGGTGCGGTAGTCCTCTTGGCCGATATCATCCTCTCCCAGCCAGTCTGCAACCAAAGCCAGCGCTGTGCTAACGCTAGCATCCTACCGGCACCACGATAATACGATACTCTGCCTCCAAACTTTTTAATCTCAATAACTTTTCTGCGCTTCCTCTATGTCTGTCTGTCATCAAATACCTCTCCCCTCCTGCCCCCAGGCAGGCGAGGAGAGCCCTCCAGCCCTGTAAGGGCTGCGGAGATCTAGAATAGGTCTGAATTCCCCTGTCTTCTTGAGAACCAGGAAGTACATGGAATAAAGACCCTTTTCTCTGTGCTGAGGGTGCACAACATACACAGCCTGTTTCTGCACCAGAGCCTGAATCTCTGCTGGGATGATAGATTTACCTCTCGCATGCCTTTGAATGGAGGTGGGATGCTGCAAAACTGGAGTGAATAGCCCCGTTTCAGCGTCCTGTCCATCCACTTTGTTAGCACACAGCTGAGTTTCCATTCCCCATAACATTGTGTTAGGGGACAAGCCCTCAGCTGTGGGGCCGCAGCTATGAAGCTGTGGTACTCCCTGGTGACCGTTCCGCCGCAAAACTCCCCGTGAAGGGAAGTTCTGCCCATTGAGGATCGACACAGAAAGGGCCGATTTTTTACTGAGGTCCCTGAACGCACCGCCGCGTGCTCTTGTGTGAGCACGCGCTCCACCATAATGTCCCCTTTACCACTACGGTAAAGTGCATTAACCGGAGTCTTTACTCTAGGCGTAGTGTGTTCCCTGACAGTAATACGCCGGGTAGGGCCGGGTGTTGAGCGTGGAGAGGGGGAAAGGAAAATAATGGGACAAGAGAGAGAAAAAGGAAAAAGAAAAAAGGGGAAACTAAACTGATGGCATAAAAACCTCTGAGATTGTGAAAAACAGCATCCCAGAGGGGACGTGGGGCTTGAACTGTGCTCTTAATTGCCAGCTCAAAAACACCTAACTTACACTAAAACTCAATTGTCAATAGTAACATCAACAAAAACAGTATACAAAATGTAACATTAAATTGTGCAGAAGCCATGAAAGGCCGGTAATAACGATTGGAGCAATTAAAGAGTGTTGCCACATACAGGTGGATATATACATTCATAACAATAGTGGCAACATGGAGGAAAACAGTAATATATGTAGGGAACAGAACATGCATATATTCACTGCTTTATAGACATGTATGAGTCAGTTATAGTTGATAGTTACCCCTATCAGTATGCGCGCGTGAGTATTTGCGCATCTCCGTGCTCAAATGTGATAGTGGCCTAAGGTATAATAAAGGAGCAGCGCTGTGTGGACCAACAGTGACATTTCAACAAAAGTCAGTGACTGTCCCGAGTTTAGTTCTACATATAAAACGCTTGGCAAACAGTGCTATAGAACACCGACCATAATAATAATAAAGAAAATATATACAACCAAGAAAGACGAAAGCATCTATAATATCAACCCAGTGATTTAACAGTTATTAGACACGTTTATGGGATAGGCTGTGAGGATGACGCACCTGAACGGCTGTGAAGAAAGGAGGAAACTTCTTCGGGCGAGAAAAAAATGTGTTTCTGTCCGTTCTTGTCAGTGACCTGTAGTTTGGCAGGAAAAAACATCCTGTATCTGAGTCCCGCATTTCTCAGCTCCGATTTGACCGCGGCATATGTGGCTCTTTTCTTTGATACCTCCACGCTGTAGTCCGGGAAAATGTTGCATCCGCGGAAAGAGAGCGGACCGGCCTCCCTCGCCACCTTCAGGAAGCGCTCTTTGGTCTGGAAGTTGTGGATCCGAGCACAAATAGCATCTATTATTAGTAAAAAATGTAAGGAGGGAGCCATGCCTGCTTCATGTATGGAAGAGGACCGGCGCCTCAAGAAAGCAATCCTATCCCCTACTTTTTATTATGGCTCTAGAACCATTAGCCTGTGCAATTCGCTCTAATGGTGACATACATGGTGTGAACATTCATGGACATGATTTCAAATTAAATATGTACGCTGACGATATACTTCTTACTTTGAGCAAGCCAGCACTCTCTATACCCGCAGTTCTTGATATGATACATTTATTTGGCAGCTTCTCTGGATATAAGATCAATTGGAACAAGAGTGAAGCAATCCCACTTAACTCATATACATATAAGCACAACCTAATGAACACCCCCTTTATTTGGAAAACAAATGGAATGAGGTATTTGGGAATTAACATCGTCTCTCCTATCTCTAAAATCTTTAGCCTTAACGGCCCTGCTATTTTCCAGTCCATTAAGGAAGACATTAACAGATGGATGGCCATACCACTTTCTCTATGGGGCAGAGCAGAAACCTTGAAAATGAATGTTCTCCCAAGGCTTTCTCATATGATCTCCTATATCCCTCTTGAATTCCTACTAAAATGGTTTAAAGATATCAAATCCCTCTTCACTCAGTTCCTTTGGAATAATAAAAAACCCAGAATCGCACATAATAAATTGATCATTCCAAGATCAATGGGAGGTTTGGGAGTCCCGGATGTATTCCAGTATTATCTGTCCTTCAATGCAAAGTATCCATTATCGTGGGCGTACAAAAGTGCCTCTCCGGTAGGCAGTTGGCAATGGCTGGAGCAATCCACCATGTCTGTAAACCAAAACACATCCCTGGCATCAATGTGGTACTGCCCAAAACCACCACCCTCAATGGATAATACCATCATCCGCTTTTCATGCTCTATTATAAAGCAACTGCACAGGAGACTCAACATAGAGGGGCTCTCTTTACCATCTTGCCCTATTTGGAGTAACCCCTGTCTTTCTGCAGGAGGAGGCACTTTAAGTAATAATATCTGGCAGAGGGCTGGTATTACTACAATTGGACAGATATATACTGTAGGGACCAAACCCTTCCATTTCAACAACTCAAAAATCAGTATGGTCTTTCAGACTCATCTTTTCTATCATATGCACAAATAGCATCTATTATTAGTACAAAATGTACTGCTTCATGTATGGAAGAGGACCAGCGCCTCAAGAAAGCAATAATATCATCAGGTGTGGTCTCTAATATTTATAAATTATTATCTAGGGCTGCCCCTAATACCTATTCTCCTGTCCAACTGTCCTGGGAGCATGACTTGAATATCTCTCGGTCTGCTTTGCAATGGAACTCCGAGGTCAGCTATGTTCTCTTCTAAATGTGTAAGATTCAGGATTCAAAATTCTCAATAGAGCATACATCACCCCTGTTACAAAATCCAAGATGGACAATAAACACAGAGACCTATGCTCGCATGAATGTCGCAAGCGAGGTACATTGTTGCACCTACTCTGGGAATGCCCAGCGGTAAAAAAACTTTGGTCAGAAGTAATATCCTTAATGTCTGAATCTTTAAATGTTAATTTCCCTACATGTCCCATTGCATGCCTACTAGGTCTCAAGCCAGATGGCAATGTTGTAAGGACTGCCGATCAACTCTGGGCATTGGGCTGTTTAGCCACAAAAAGACTCGTCCTACTAAACTGGAAGGAACGCAAACCAGCCTGCTTTACTAGGGACTCATGGCTGAGGGAGTATCTGGACCTGCTGAATATGGAGCAGCTTCTCTTCTGGGGGGTTTTGAGGCGAGACAGGAGGATTAAGGTTCACTGTCCGCAGCTCTCCTATCTGACCCTTACAATATGGCATCTCCTGTGTAATGTCTTGTGTATGTACAGTAATGTCCTGTGTATGAAACAATTTGCTGTCTTAGGAAGTCATCCTTGCATCCACCCCCCCCCCCCCCGTTATGTCTTGTATTTTCTGTTATCTGGTGCAATGTCTGTGTTTATCTTATAACTGAAAAAAAAGAAGCATAAAGGCGGTCGGCTGTGGGCCCTCAACTTTTTCAGGTACGCTAGTTATGCGGATAGTATTGCGTCTCGATCTGTTTTCCAGGTTGTCCACCTTAAACTTGAGGTTCTCATTTTCCCTGGATAGGGCTGTGCAGGTGGATTCGATGGTTTGCAGTCTGGCCTCCATGCCGTTGAGTGCCACTTCCATGTCTTGGATGGTCTGGTCGTGCCGGTCAATGGTGGCACGGTCAGCCGAGAGTTGGACGGACAGTTTTGCAATAATGCGCTCCTCCATTGAGAGGAAAGGTTTCTCCATGTCAGCTAGCGTTAGCGGAGCATGGTTAGCTGCATGTTCCTCATTTTGGCTAGCTCCCGTGCGGTCCTCTGTGTCACTCTCATAAGATTTCTCGCCTGCAGGCTGACTTTGCTTCTTTGTAGATTTCCCCATGTTCGGTTGTCTTTTAGACACGTTTGCACAAGTTAGATGTCGTAATTAAGCGAGTATACTGTAATATTAGACAGGATTTCAACAGAGCTCAACCGGGGTGCGACCTACTCCTCCATTAGACAAACCGGAAGTCCTGAGGGGTAATATTTTGATTTATGGTATTCTTTTCACATATTTCTCTCCATTCTTCCTTCTGCTTTCTTTCTTTCTTTCTTCATCACATTTTCCCGTCAAGTTTGTTTTTTATAAATCGCAAAGATTGCTTAGAAATTGGCATACGTCATCTTTTCAGCGTACGCCACGTTTATAAATGAGGCCCCAGGTCCTTTCTTTCTCCAGACGTTAGCCTTTCCATCACTTTGGTAAAGGTTCATCTTTGTCTCATCGGTCCATACAAATTTATCCCAGAACATTTGAGCCTCGTCTCTGTACTTTTTGGCAAATTCAAATATGGCCATCCTATTCTCATTGCTAATGAGTGGTTTAGCGGTTTAGTGGTTTGCATCTTCTGGTGTAGCCTCTGTACTTTTGTTCCCAAAGTCTTCTGCTAATGGTGGATTGTGATACCTTCACTCCTGCCCTCTGGAGGTTGTTGGTGATGGTTTCTTTACAGTTCTCACAATGTTTCTGTCATCAACTGCTGATGTTTTCCTAGGTCGACCAGTTTGAAGTCTGATGCTCAGTACACCAGTGCTTTCTTTCTTCTTAAAGACATTCTAAATGGTTGTACTGGCTATGTTTGTGCAATGGCTCTGATGGATTTTACATCTTCTCTCAGTTTCAAAATTGCTTGCTTTTCTCCCATAGGCAGCTCTCTAGTCTTCATGTTGGTTACTCCGTTTTAACTAAAAATGCAGTCTGCACAGGCAAACCCCAAAGCTCAAACTGAGAGTAGACATGCAGTGCATTTTATTGTTTGAATAATCAATGTAGCAGGACGCACCTGGGCAACAAACACACCTGTCAGTAATATGTTCCAATACTTTTGCTCACTTGAAAAATGGGTAGGTTTAAACAAAAGGTGCTATCTTCTCAGTTGTTTAACAGATCTAGATGTAAATACCTGGAATTAAAAGCTGAAATACTGACCTTTTGTCTCATATTCATATGTTGATGTCAAACCTAATTGTTTTCAGTGTACAGCAAAAATAAAGCAATTGGCCTCGCTGTTCCAATAGTTTTGGAGGGGACTGTATTGATGGATCTCCAGGTTATAGTTAGAGAGCCAGTTCCACCAAGCTGACAAACTGTAGCCGGTTAAAGAACCGAGATGATGGCTTGCTAAAAGTGAAATCAAAACCTCTCTAAAGCCCTCTGCTGTCTGGCTAAGTTTAGGGAGCGCTTGATTTGATATGCAGTGGCGTCTTCTGTGAGAGGAACCCACATTTTAAACGCATTTTGTAAACAGCCCTGATTCCATTTAACTCCCAGCGTTGACAGGCAAGTTTACATTTACAGTTTGAATATGAAAGCTGAGTGTAGTATAACTCGGAAATAAGTTAGCATTTAATCACTTTCGTTTCTTAGTCAATAGTGTTTTTAATAGATAGACTCCTGAAGTATGGTTAGTGGTTAAGACAAGCAAAAGAGATTTTCGTGTTTTTATACGACATCAAATACGTAAATAACCCTAACCTGCAAACTGCAATATTACCCTGCCTGCTCTGCCATACAAAGAGCATCCCGTGCTCCTGTATCATCTGCATGTATTTATAAAAAGTTCATAAGCCGTCACTGTCGTCACCGTGGTTCTTTATAAATTAGCCTTATTGCGAAAACAGTGACATTATCAGTGTCTTCAGAGAGCTGGTGGGAACTGCGGCAACTTGATGGGGTCTGTAGGTTTTCTTCATCTGCCTACTAGTTGTGTGTATGTGTGTGTGTGTGTGTGTGTGTGTGTGTGTGTGTGTGTGTGTGTGTGTGTGTGTGTGTGTGTGTGTGTGTGTGTGTGTGTGTGTGTGTGTGTGTGTGTGTGTGTGTGTGTGTGTGTGTGTGTGTGTGTGTGTGTGTGTGTGTGTACATACCAGGCAGCCTCTCTCTCGTCTGACCCCTTAACCAGCCGACAGGTAGACTTGCTCTTTCTTTACAGCCCCTTGTAAAGGGGGCCATGGGGGGCATCACTGCTCTATCTGACATGGTATCTGCAGTCAGAGGGTCCTGCTGCTCCACCAGGCCCAACACTCCTGCACAGGGGGGGCTTTCAGAGGGGTGGACACTCCTCTCCTGTGTGGATGAACGTGAAGAAAAGAGCAGACTGGACATAAGAGAGTGGAGTCCAGAAGGTAGGACAGTGGCAGAGACATCTCATTTAAACCAATTAGAGAATCCTTTCAGTGTCATGTATCCAAACAGAGATATAAAAACACAATAAACCAAGTTAAAGATGACTTTGAGTCAGATTATTATAATTTTTTCAATTTTCAATAGACATCACAACAATATTGTAGTGCAGTCAGATCGGAAATCTGATATTGTGACAGCCTTCAATTGTTGTGAAATATTCCACTTTCAGATGTTGGTTAGAGAACCACAGATTGTTAGGCTTAAACAGCCTGAGGTGACCTTTTTCCTCCTCACTTCAAGGCAGTTTTCTACACCACAGCCAGAATATGCAGCCAGACAAATCTACACAACATAATACATTCTTCAATTAAGAATTTCTTTTTTTGATGCAGAAGCATAACTAGATAAAAATATGGCCTTATTCAGATCAATTGTAAGATCACTTTCTGAGCAGATATACAATCCTCTGTGGGAGGTTTGTTTGCTTTCACAAAGGTGCAACACTTTTTCAAGAGCACACACACACACACACACACACACACACACACACACACACACACACACACACACACACACACACACACACACACACACACACACACACACACACACACACACACACACACACACACACACACACACACACACACACACACACACACACACCTTTTCATTCACATCAAAGGCAAATATTTATTCTGCAGTCAGACAACACACGTGGTGTGAAGATGTTTACAGACCTAGAACTGTGTGTGCACACTACACATAGTGTATCCTGGCCCACAGTGGCTGTCTGTAGAGCACCCAACATTCTTTACATTAGCTCTGAAACAGATGTTTCAATTGAATAATGAGTAAACTTCTGTGCTTTGGCTTTGAGCTCAGTGCCCCACGTTTTGTTTACAATGAAGCGAGTGGAAGTCCCCCCTTGTTTTATGGAGCACATATAGTATGTCAAAGATAGACAGACAAGGATACAGGGCCTCCGGAGATTTTGCACGCTTTTCATAAATAAAAAATGGTACAACTTACACACAAGTAAGTTTATACTGGGGCATTTGTTGAACATACTGTATGTGACCCCTAAAGGCCTGTAGGCTAATGAGGAGTGAGGCAGTAAAAGAAACAGTGAGTGCCGTCTGAGCCAGCAAGGCCTTCTCTGCTGGACTAACTACTATCAGAATCCCTGACTAACCTTTTAACATAGTTTTTTCATTAACATATTAAATTATTTCCAATAGTCTATTCTCTTCATCTTATAGCTCTGTCTTGCGCTCAGTTGCGCTGCGTCCAGTAATGATTGTTAATGTTGGAACTTTTATCCAATCATATTTCAGTCAGAATGTGTTGCTGGGTCAAATCAATCTGCCCTGAGGCCTTCAGAATCAACAGTTGTTGTAGCTTAAAACAAATGGCAATGAAACTGTTGCACCAATCAGATTTCGAGTTGGGGACACCGAGCCATCTAGCACCATTACGATGAGGTCAGCCTTTTCACGTCCTTTGATTGGATGGTTAGCGCTAGCAAACACTAGCGTGTGTAGCGGTAGCTAGCCCGGTAGCTACAGCGGTACCTCTCAGCCTCCGAGGAGCACTGCACACTGCTGGGAACGCCTGATATTCACAACTGATCCACTTTGTGTTTGGAGCCAGAGAGGGTTTGAAACTGTTGTCTAACCAAGGCAGCAGCAGGACACAAATCACTGCTCGACACTAACAAGCAACGCTGCATTTGAAAACTTTTGGGGAAGCCCGAGTGGATCTACAGCTTAACGAAGAAGAACGGCGGGAAATGTTGCTCCACAATGTTTTTTCCGGAAATACAACTGGACAGACTGGACTTTCAGCATTAGCCTCCATCGTGATAGAACCAGACTTATTTATTATTGGAACTGAAAATAATATGATAAAAGAATTGAACTCTTCTTGAGGAAAGAAAGGAGGATGGATTTTGTGGACAAATAATCACGAGGCTATAATTACTTTTATTTTCATTTTTGTTATATTGATGCTTCTGCTGGAGATGAAACCTAGGTCTGAAATTCATGGCCCTTGCAGGGCCCGATGTGTCTGGCCAGACGGACAGACAGCCAAACTCATGATTGTTATTTTCCAGGATTCAATCTTTGGAATGCTTTATGCCAGAGAGGGTGCTCACATGTATAGCAGCACAAACATGTGAGTGTTTGTGTGAAGCAGTGAGCTGATCAGAGGTCATTATTCTGATGTGACTCCCTGTGTGACGCGTGTTCCTGTAAGCAGAGGCTCTCATCCATGCACGAATACTGAACTGATGTCTGTAACCTGACATATGAACAGATGCATACACAAGCACAGATACAGAGACTCAGCCACAAAAACACTGAGTCACTGCACTGTAATGACAGGGTAAACCACTGGGCTGAATAATGCCCTGCGGCCAACAGACACACATCCACAGCACTCACACACACAGAGCAAACATCTTCATACGTCAGCTCGCAATAGAGGATGTCATGTATTAAAACATTTGCAAAGACCTGATGAAGGACGCCGTTGGATCCTGGCCACATGAAAATGTAGTGGTCGGATGCCTGAACCGCATCAGCCTGGAGGAAGGGGGGGACCACAGTGTGTCTAAAGGGCCTTAAACTAACAGAGATGAGTGTGGGTTGGGGGAGGGTTGTGCAGGGTACGTTATGCAGAGGGGGGTCAGGGTAAGACAAAGATGATCACACCAGAACACTGCTCGAGTAAAGGAGAGTGAAATATGAAATACTATAGAGTTACACATTTGAATGGCAGTTCAATTACAAATATAGATAGATATCAGATTTGTGCAATAACGTTACATGGATATGTTACATTTATTATGAACTACTGTAATTGTTATATTAGAGAGTGATTCTAACCTAAGTTTATGAAAATACTGTAATAAAAAAAACATTTACACTGGTTGCTGGCATAACTAAACGTATTAGATAAATACATTTTGAGATGCATCGTGTTTTAAAATGTGGATTTGGTTATGATTAACTATATTTCAGCGGATAAAGATCTCTTCAAATATGCGTTCATTGGCCTGGACACCATCTTTGGTGACAGATATTTCTAACATATACGTTCAAAGTCTACTGCGAAGTACGCTGCTCGGATGCGCACCGCGTCTCAGTATGCTGATTCAGCCTATCATAACAACCCAATAAGGCTGTCCAACAACATCATCACGAACCCAAACCATGTTCTGAACTGCTAATATGAACTTGCTACCATCTAATCGGAGATACAAGGTCCCACGATTCAATAAAGTCAGACTGAAACATTCCTTTGTGCTCCAGTCAATCCTCACAGTAAATACAGAGCTGAATCCAGGGGCGGACTGGGTCTACAAATCAGCCCGGGACTCTCGACCGGCCCACTTCAGTACCGGCCCATCGGGATGTACGTCCCGATGGCCAGTCTGCTGAATCCCAGATCAAATGCACGCTAAAGGGTTATTGAAAATGTTTTCTCTCAGTGATTGTGCTGTTATGTTAAATGTCTGTTGTTCTTTTTTCATGTATTGTGTCTTGATATCTGTCTATGTTGATGTTACACATGGAGCTGCTGTGATGTCAAATTTCAGACTTGATCTGTCCAAAAAAGTAGTATCGTATCGTGAAGTGATTCATAAGCTTTCTCTTCTTGTCTTTGTAAGGTCATTGGTGAATTTTTGGGATATTTAAACATTTTATATTTCAGGAATGGGCTTTCCATGTAATACCAGCCAAAAAACACATTTAACTCCGGGGCAGAAGCCTTCCTCTAATTTGTGAAAAAAACTTTCTCTGAACAAATTTCAATATCCAAACAAATTCCAAACAAAATATTATACAAATGTAGCATGCACCCTCAGGGTATGATGGTATAGAAATCAACTCACTAAATGGAAATGCGTACATGTTGGATGTCTTGCCTTCAAACTGTATTTAACTGTAATCAATAAAGACAAGTGGGTATTCACAACACATTTCATCACAATGCACCATTAACATATCATTTTATACATAGCTAATACCATTGGTAATTGATAAAACACATTAATGATGATTTCATGTTGACATGATTTATGTCACATCTGCATTTACAAAAAAGAAAACACAGTTCATACTGAGTGGAACAGCAGCGCAGGTGTTTGATGAAACCTGCCAAGAGGAGGTCACAGCGCACCAATGTGCACCAGAAACAGCTCAGGACGCCCAATGTGTTTCTCGCTGTGAAAGTGCTGTGTGTCTGACATTAAGTGACCATTTTTAAACATGCAAAATAAAGCAGAACCAGTCAATGTCAAAAAATATGTTAAACAAAGTAGCAGCAGACCAATAAGCATCCACTGTGGACTGTTAGACGAGCTTGCATTTTTCCAAAAGGTGGCATTAATTTTCCCATTTTGATCAACAGACAACAATTGAACAGATCCTTCGTTTCATCTATCCCACAGCCCGCTGCTCACAAACCATTCAGAGGAGCTCAAAGAATGAACAAACACAGCACACAGTGAGAGGCCGAGAAAGGACAGGGACGGGCCCAGTTCACATGTGACCTATTAACAGGCTATATCACCTCATGGTCCTGTATACTAGGGGCGGAACAGTTAATGTATTGGTCCTGAACCGATCCGTACAGGACATTCAGTTTGGGAATGCCACCTTCGCTCGGTAAACCCACTGTCAAAATAGTCTCTTAATATTTACTACTGGCACGCCATCAGGTTCAGACTGGTTAGTCAAGCTCAAACCCTGAGGCGGGCAGGGAAGATAGTGGCCGACCCCTCCTACCCTGGACACAAACTGTTCACCCCCCTCCCCTCTGGCAGGAGGCTGCACTCCATCAGGACCAAAACCTCTTGCTACCTGAACAGTTTCTTCCCCTCCGCTACCGGCCTCTTAAACAAGGCCCGGCGCCCCCACTGACACTTTACCTCAGCCACAACGCAGACTCTATACGCATTACATTAATGCACACAATGTTCAAATATTGTTCAAATATTGCTTACTGCACATATTTCATATTTTATATTCTATAATTCACTGCATTCTATTTCGCTGTAAATTACTGATTTATTTTATTGCTATCTATCTATATTTTTTTACAGTGTTCTTCTTATAGTTCGCTATCTGTGTACTTTAAAAAAAAAAAAGGTTTTATATTTTATGTATGCACCATGACATCAAGTCAAATTCCTCGTACGTGTGAACCTACCTGGTAATAAATCCGTTTCTGATTCTGATTCTGAATGAACACTAATTTTTGTCAGACTGTCGACATAGTTCTACTACGGGTGGGGTATGTCTCAATCATTTTATCAGGAATTGCATAATTTAGATGTGTCGATAAGCAGATTGAGGGAAATACAGACCCTCTCTTCAGTGTTGAAGCATCCAAGGCAGATTCAATATTTTACAATAAATTACTGTTTTACCACTTTACAGTCTTTACCTGTAATGTTCACAATATAATACTGTAATTTTGAATTTCACAGTGAAATCAATGCAGGCACAGTTAATTACTGTGAATGTACAGGATAAATGATTACCAGGATTTCACAACGTGTTACTGTATTATTTCACAGTAAAATACTGTATTCATACCATCCTCTGTGATAACACAACAAATTACGTGATTTTCTTGCTTTTATCGCTCTTGCTTGGCTTTAAATACTCATTTCTTTCTTTGGTGCAGGTTTTACTTAAATTGAAAGGGGCACCACTGCATGTGCCTTAAAATAAACGTTGCAACATATAAATCTATGTAAAATTGAAATTGTTTTCTTGGCTTATTGTTTTCAGGTGCTTCCTGGGCATTAATCCTGAGACGGGCTCGAAAGCCAAAAAGAGGCATGGCAATTTAAACCCCCATGTCAGCACATTCTTCAGAACAATGGTTGACTTCGAGTGGATGTCTGTGTAGACATGTGTTACGTGCTCCCCTCCTCTTTTCTGTCTGGTCTGCCCCTGGCTCCGCCTCTGCCCAGGTGCACCTGGTCTGCCCCTGGCTCCGCCTCTGCCCAGGTGTTCCAAATTCCACTCAGCCGTGTATATACAAAGAGAAGCTGGAGGAGAAGGATGTCTCGCCTATCCTAACGCCGGGAGACACTCTCCTTAGAATACCTCTTTGCCATTTTGAGCTGTTGGCCATATTTTTGCAGATGTGTTTATGTTTAGCCTGGAGGACCTGGTAGTCCAGTTTTCGCGTCTTTATTTTGTTTCCCATAGGGTTTATAATTGATTTCTGGTTGGGGGGGAGCTCTGGGTCCTACGGTCCGTGGTGTGGCTGGCTCGGGTTCCCTCCTTCTGTTTGTTATTTTGGCCAGTCCTCCAGACCTCTTTTTGTTTCCCGTTTCGCTTGTGTGAGCAAACGGCTGATTATCAATAAATGCTTGTTACCAAGTACCGGTTATTGCGTGTATTCTTTCATGTTGCGGGTCTCAGCACGAGCCACTACCGTGGAGTAGAGGTTGGGGCCGTAACAACATGTCCAAGACACTGTGAAATGTACTTTGCACTTCAATGGAGTAATACAAAATTAAAATGGGCATTTTCTTTGTTTTTCTTTGTTGATTGAGCTGATTGAATTGTGTAGTTATGCTAAAATCCCAGTTAACTAGTCAAATTTACAATATATTATCGTATTATTTACATTTTTATATTTACAGTAAATTACTGGCTACTGTGTTGCATTACTTCTACAGTAAAAGTGTGAAAATACAGGTAATTACTGTAATTTATGTACAGCAAGGTACCATAATACCACAGCTCTGTACTGCTATATCACAGTAATTCCATGGGCATGGCAACTGTAAAGTCACAGTATTTAGTTGTACTTTTATTCTAATTTACTGTAAAATATCAACAGTAAATTAGTGTGAAATATTTACACTCAATTACTGTGAAATATTTACAGTCAATTACTGTGAAATCCATGCAACTAGTAGCCAGTAATTTACTGTAATTTTACAGCCAAACATTTTACAGTGTACATGCCAGTTTGCCATCCTTCCCATGCACCTGTGCACAGAGGGTCAGTGGAGCTGTAATATGTGGTGTTTTGGGTTTTACTGATACACATTTGTAATACGCCATTTAATTGAGAGAAAGTAAAACATCATCTTTTACAATTAGCTTTCAGTTTGCTTCCACTCTCATCAATGCTGCTAACAAGACTGGTGGGAGAAGCACAGCCAGCAGAGGTGTAATGTAACCAAGTACATTTACCCAAGTACAGTACTTAAGTACACACTTTACTTGAGTATTTCCATTTAATTTAAAGTGGACCTATCATGCTATATTTGAATAATATATTGTAGGGCCATACCTATATAAAACATGTCTATGAAGTTTTTTTTTCAAAATACCAAACAGATCCTGCATTTTAGCCATGCCTCATTTCGCTCTATTTGCTCATTCCAGCCCTGTTTTTGCAAGGGCTGATTCTGTGACATAGCTTTAATGCAAATGAGCTGCAGCTGAGCACGCCCCCCTGCAGGAGAGGGGAGCGTGCTCTGATCAGCTGCTGGGCTGTCCGAAGAGGGGGAGAAAAAGAGATCTCCGTCCTCCGTGTTTTATTATATTATTATATAGAGTCGTTATTCATTTGTTTTAAAGCTCAATAAATAACAAAGAAGACCTTTGACACACCGGGGACACATATTCATGTATAAAAGACGTACAAAAGTGCATTTTGCATGATAGGTCCCCTTTAACTTATAACTACACGTATTGTACTTTTTGCTTTAATTTATTCTCATAGTTACTAGCTTTTTACACTTTTTACACATGATGTCGACAGGATCTGATGAAGTACAGTACTAGTAACATACCAAGTATCTTAATTGGCTCAACAAACTACAACTTTTAATCATTTGACATATTAGTTGGTGATAACAGAACAATTTTCTATAACACTATTATTCTATAAAAACAGCCATCCTAATTATTGAGTAGGCCTACTTTGACTTTTGAGTAGCCTAACGGCCCGTCCACACAGCGGCGTTGGAAGCTTCTTCCAACGCTTCTGCCCATTCACTTTGAATGGGGTGACGTCACTTTTCGTCGAACTGCATTGTGGGAAGCAGAGCGGAGCTTTCCTGGCGTTTCAGGCTGCAAAAGTTGAACAATGTTCAACTTTTGAAGCTTCTGAAGCTTTCGGTGGAAGCGTCAGCCAATCAAATCATATGCCAGTACAAGCTCTAGCCAATCAAACCGCTGCTTGTGTGTCAGGGGCGGGAGATAATTGTGATTGGTTGTTGGTCGAACTTCAGACACGCCCGCCGGCAAGCTTTTTCCAAAGCCGCTGTGTGGACGGGCGTAACTGTTACTGATAATACTTCTGTAGGCTAAATTAAGTAAATTATTTAAGTAAGTAAAGTATTAAAAGACAAAAGTATTTTTACCTTTACCTTATTAAAAGGTATTGTACTTTAGTACCTCTACTAGCAAGCAAAATAGTACATTACACTTAACAATTTACTCAAGTACTGTACTTAAGAACAATTCTGAGATACTTGTACTTTACTTGAGTGTTTCCATTTTATGCTATGCTATTTGTACTTCTACTCCACTACAATTCCGAGGTAAATATTGTACTTTTACACCACATTTAACTTAAGTTACTTTTCAGATATACAGTAGATTAATGATAAACAATATAATCAACACTTAAATCAGACTTTAGTTAAACCTGGAGTAAATGTATAAACGACCCAGCAGTCAATAAATTAAAACTAGCTGCACCTTTACCAGCTTTGATAACACTTTAATGATCAATCATTATAAAACATATCATATCTTATTCTGAAATGGACCAATCTGCACAATGACTACTTTTACTTTGGGTAGCCAACTTTAACTATATTTTGATGCTAATACTTTTCTACTTTTACTTGAGTAACATTTTGAATGCAGAACTTACTTGCAGAGTATTCCTACACTCTGGTACTTCTACTTTTAATGAAGTACACTATTTTTTTAGAAGTTCTTCCACTTCTGGCTACAGTTTTTCATTTAAGCAACTCATGTAGGATAGCCCCCAGAATGAGATGTAGACATGCATGAGCCGCGGACAACGAGCCGCGGACACCGAGCGGCGGACCGCCCGCAGAGAGGAGTCCGTGCAGCAGCGCAGGCATGGGGCGTTAACTGAAGCTTTACACGCCGCTGGTTAATGTGGCCAGGAATACTTTCTAAACGGTTCTCGTTCGAGCAGTGAAAAATAACTTCGGTCATTGTTAAAGTTCAAATAGCTCACCTGGAGGTTAAGGGCTGTCGCTAAGTTCCCGGTTCACTCTGATTGTTCCTCTCACCCTGCAGGATGTCTCCGTGTCGGATCAGGTGCGGAACAGACCCGCCTGTCTACCTGCTGCGGCTGCCTGATGCAACAGCTCCACCTTACCTCTGGCTTTACCAGTCCGACCGGCAGAACAGTCCACCCTGACACACATCACCCCCCCCCCCTGCAGTGGACTGCCTCCACACACAGAAACATATAAATTCAAATGTACGGTGATCATTATCTCAAATCGTATACAACTTGACATACATTACCAGCTGACAATTTAATTTGTATTGGAAACAATTTTTAATATGAAGTTAGGAAAGTATATCAATTTATGTTGTATGTATGTGTGTGTGTGTGTGTGTGTGTGTGTGTGTGTGTGTGTGTGTGTGTGTGTGTGTGTGCGTGCGTGCGTGCGTGTGTGTGTGCGTGTGTGTGCGCGTGTGTGTGCAGGGCCGATCCTAGACATTTTGGTGCCCTAGGCGAGATTATGATTTGGTGCCCCCCCCCCCCCCCCCCCTCCAAGCAATACACAATAGAATATATAAAGAATAAATGAAAAATCTCTACAAAAGACCAATACACTACAAAAAATGAAACGTATTGACATGTTGGTTATATACATAATGAAGGTTTCAAATGTATTCATTATTGTATGAACATGTTTTAATTAGGGGGTGGACGTCACATCCTCTAGGGGGGTCCGGGGGTATGCTCCCCCGGGAAGATTTGTTTTAACATTTTAAAGTAAAATGCTTCAATTTGGTGCAGAATTACTAGAGACTAGATCTAGGGGGTACAACTCTAAACACCCATATGAAAAAGATCGGTTTACATTTTAATAATCAAATAAGTATGTGAACATAACCAATAACCTACCATAGCCAATAACAAATAAATGTAACGTATTTTATTGTTGTTCATTTATATCTTATTTTACCTAGTTAACATTTATTTATTTATTTATTTATGCATTTTTTTTTATACCTCCAGTTTTAAACGATATTTTTGGTTTACTGTCCTATAGTATCAGTGTTTCCCTAGGATGGAGTCATAGCAGCGGTGCTAAGGCACGCGGGCCCAGCTAAATGTGAGCACGGAGCGCGTGGAATTTTTTAGTGTGTGCGCGTGGGAAGTGCGCCCCGCCAATATGTTTCTACAGTATGTGTCTGCCAGCACATTTAAGGCTCTTGAGGCTCCACAGGTGTATTTTGCTAAATCACCTTTATTGAACATACAGTAACACACATACTACACATCCACATAACAAACAATCAAAAATAAAATGTATGCAATTTAATTATTTTAACCTGCTTTATTTGTGGGTGGACCTCACATCCTCTAGGGGGGTCCGGGGGCATGCACCCCCGGGACGATTTTGTTCAATGTTGAAGTGAAATGCATCTATCTGGAGCACTTTGAGCACAACATGAATGTATGGATACAGCTCTCAACACTCAGATGAAAGGGAGCTGTATACTTTTCAATAATCCAAACATCTTTAGAATATGATCACAACCAATAACAAATAATTTAAACTTGTTTATTCTTATCTTATGTTACCTAGTTAGTATTCTTTCTTTTTCTTTATGCATATTACTAATCACTCCCCTTTTAAACTGTTTTTTTTTTTTTACTGTCCTATAGTACACATTGGAATGATTTCTTACTTTATTTTTTACAAATATATTAAATAGTTAAAGGTGTGCTCTCTCTAGCTCTCTCTCTGTCTCGCTCGCTCACAGAGGCTGTGTGGCCACGGATTATTATTTTAATGTATTAAAAAAAAAATAACCTGGCTGGCGGCGCGTAGCAGCGGCGCACATACGCCGCTGCTGAATGTATATAGGGGAAACACTGAGTATAAACTGAAATGATTTAAAACCTGTGTTTATTTATCCTAATAATTATAAAGGTGTGCCTTGGAAATATTTGTTTACATAAATCTTGACCAAACCGTTTGAGACCCACTGAGATAACTTAGACTAAAGTGAACTATCTAAACACTCAGAGTCCTTTACCTCACTGAGCTGTAGTTATCAGCCGCGGTACCGATGCGCGCCCTCTCTCTCTCTCTCTCTTGCTCGCTCAGAGGCTCGCTCGCACTTTGGCTGTGAGCTGCGGTCGCCAGATAAGCCAACATCCTCCACTTTGTAACCGGGGTGAAAAGGGTGTTACCTTGACTTAATTATGAATGTTGTTACATCAAGGCTGAACATTAGGATTAGCCAAACAGTCAAAAATGTTTGGCTTGAAAATGACATTCCCAGAACAAATGACCATATCTTCCCTTCTAAAAGGGTTAAATTAATAATCTTTTTTCTCAAAGTAATGATAAATCTGTGAGTTTGATATAGAAAAGTCAGAACAATATAGATGTTTTTTATTTTAAAGAAAATTCAGATTTTACATAGTAAAAAACTGTAAATTATAGTGTCCGTCCAAAAATTCTTTTTTACTTATAGTGAAAACTACCCTTGGATGATGGTAAAGTAGACTAAAAGCTTTAGGAATCCAAAGTATAACATATAATAAGTACCCTGTATCAAGATTGATGCAAAACAAGTGACATTTGACCTTTTTAGAAAGATTTATCCAAAAACACTCCACCTCTGAGGTGATTTGGGTGGAAATGTTTTTTTTTCCATATCTCTGGCCCCCCTTTGTCGATTTTGATGGTTGACACCTCTTTCTGACCGTTAGAGCCAATAGAATCGAAGGGGGAGTCCCCCACACACACTCGTTGTAAAACAAAAAGGTGGGGGCTTTGGTAAAATACCTCCGCTAAAATTATTCCCTACTATTTTATAACCCAGCGGTTATGTAAGAGTAAGTCACTAATGCGCCTATTTGATATGAATTCCTCTGTATGTACAGATGTAGCACTTCATTTCGGGTCCGTGCGGGTCCGTGATCTGCACGGGGTGGGCCCCTGCTGAAAAGGAAACCCCCCGCAGGACTTGATACGCCCCCTTGATAAATACATTTAATTATTATGAAACCAGCTGCAATGGATCATGGATCCACCAGGGGGAGCAGTGATTAAAAAGCTGCCACAGTGGAACTCATGTGAAATAAAAAATAAACAGCTGATAGATCTACAGTAGAGGTATCTGATATAGCGGATATTTGTTAAGATCCATATGTCACGGATAGGATCATATTCTGTGCTAAATAAGAGACATGTAATCATTTACAAAACATCACCATGTTTTTATTTAACAAAATAATGTTGTTTAATCCACGTTGGCGTAAATACAAAACCATCGCTATGTTTTTTTGTCAGGAAATGCAGACCGGCTCATACAAACGATTTGTAATCATCATCCTCACGATCATTTAATGTATCATATGTTCGCCGAATTGAAATGAATGCACTAATACATGTAGTTTAATCCACGTGAGTTTACAACTACAAAAATAATCGGTTTGTTTTTATATCACATCCGACCGGTGGAAAATGCAGCACGGCTCTCACTACCGATAATCCTAATCCCACGGGCAAACAATAATATGTACAGTGTTAATAGTTTACTGTATTATTAGTGTCTAATATTACTGCTATAACAATCACACATTGAGTTGTTAAAATCAGACCGTTTTTTTTTTTTAAACAGTCTGAATGAAACGGCAGCTCTCAGGTGATCAGCTGTCTTTACACACCTAATGGCCCATCAGCCACAGCTCTCTCCCCCCCCCCTTGATCTTTCTTCTCCAGCAGTTAAGTTAACTGTAGGTTACTCTGAGTGACAAGCTTACAGTTAGTGAAGTAACACTTTTTTTTTGTGAGTCACGACCTGGCTGTTTCATTCTAACATAACGCTCCAAATTGTACTGTTTCCACTCAGACTTCAATACATGCTACACCATTGTTTGGTTTCCATGGTAACGCATCTCTTTAGTACAACTCTACCCTCTGCTCACTCCTTTCCTGTAAATTCAACTATACAGGTCCAGCCCACACATATGACAGCGCAGTTGCTCCATCATTCCATCACTTCTTTTTTCCTGCTCAATACGCTCCTTGGCCGGGACACACATATTTATTTAGATATGTTTTAAACAAGTTTAAATAAAATATGCATAGTAATTTAATAAATCCTTCCAACACACATTGTAAGAACAGTTCTGTTTCATATGAGTGTTGAGAGCTGTATCCATAAATCTCTTAATTTTGCCCTCAAAATGCACCAGATTGATGCATTTATAATAATAATAATAATAATGGGTTCCATTTATAAAGCACTTCATATTTGATTTCAAATCCCGAAGTGCTACAAGCACTTCGGGATTTAAGCATTTAACTTCAATTTAAAGAAAAACATCTTCTGTTGTAACAACAATAACATTATAAATAGTAACATAGCTGAACATGGTATTGCACATTTAGCTTTGAGTGTTACTGACCTGAGATGTTTTTATTACATGAATTAAGGTGACTGAGGCTTTTTAACATAGACTTTTCAGTGTCCCACATTTTGCACAGAACTGTCCCACATTAGGAAATGCAGATTGTCTGAGACAACTTGGCACTAAGAGTACTGATATGTCTACCATTTCTTTTATGAGTGTAATATCTGCATTTTCTCTTTTGGTTTGATTAGGACACATCCTGGGGATTTCAGAATGGTACTGGATTTTGATTTATTGTATCGGCTTCATATCGCAATATATTCCCGGAGTCTGAAATGCAAAAAATGTCCCACATTAGGGCAATTCACCCTACATTTAATCATTCGAACAAAATCATATTTCGTTTATTTTTAACTAAATAAATGTGGTTTAATCCACATAATTTACCGTGTTAATTGTTTATTGTATTATTGTTTAACTTGAAGGTGCCTGATGTGAACATTTCCAGAAGAACGTCTAGCTTGAATGGCCTTTGTATGTATACAGTACAGTATAGCCCAACCATTTACACCTTTTTTCCCGTCAAGAGTTTGAATTGGAGAAGAGTAATGGTTATCGATGGTGTTTTTAAAGCCTATTGTATA